ATTTGCTGCATACAAATTGAGTAGTTTCGTTCATTTTCCCGATTCTTACGAGTACAAAATAACTTCGGAACAAACAGTCAGAGTGAATTTAAGGGCAAGAGAAGAAGTTGAAGTAAGTAATCGCAACAGGTAATGAACCATCTTCACATTTACTTCAACCTTTAGTTCTCGAAAATTTACCGACTGATAAAAACGAAAGCTCTAGTCAGTCACTTGATGATTACCGAGATGATAATAGTGATACTGATTTTGATACTTTTGATACCAGCGCCAGCGGTACAATAAAATTAGCTGACAATAAAAGTGTTGACAACGCAACTACAGAGCTATTGAGTGACTGGAAAAGTTTCATAACTGATCTAGACAACATAAGTGATGAAGAACCTTGAAGATGATCCCGAGAATTTTCAGAGTCAGAGCCTGTATTCAAAACTACACAAAAAATATAAATCATCAAAAAGTTCATCTTCTCTTTTGAGTGGACTTAACATAGCATTCAAACCTTCTTCTTCATCAAGAAAACAAATGGTCCAAACTAGAAGAAAAGGAGTGAACATTTCTGTGCGGCCAACTAGTGTAGCCCGAAGAAACACCAAGTTCAATGGCAAGAGACGGTTCCAGTTTGGAAGAAAGCCTGTTAATTTTAAGAAGAATGGGAATCTTGCTCCTCATAGTTTGGCTGAATGTGTAAACCAAAATCGAGCTTTAGGAGCTCGAAAAATTAAGTAGATTTTTGTTGTTTTATATATTTTTTAAATGTTTAAGCGTATACCTACAGTGTATATGCTAGAAAAATTCTTTATTCAGATACAAATTCATATAACCATACCAGCTTTTCGGCCCCACTCAAACGATATGCCAATGGTTTTCATTTCCAATTTTATTACAACACACTTGATTGAACTCGTACCACAAAAGATAAGTCTTTGATTTCCGAATAATACGTGAAGGATATACACGTAGTAAACAAATTTGGAAGTCAATCAGATATGTAGAAGTCAGTCAAAATTATTATTACGATACTTATAATACTTATTACTAGGCTTACTATATTAGGAATTACTATTTGCGATAACGTGTGGCTATTTAGCAGGGTGTTTTGCGATCCCAAGTGGCGTTTAGAAGCTGACGCTCGGCTCGAGCCGATTCGCGATCACATGTGGTGAAAAAATCGGTTTTTATTTTTTTTCTCTCTCTGTATGTATTTTTTGGCAAACTGTGTATACTAAAAATTAAGCTTTTAAATAAAAAACCTTAAATTTTTTTTTATTTTTTAAAATTTCTAAAAAATTTCCCGACCAAAATTGAGCTTTTTTCACTTATTTCGAATTGAAAGATTGTTGGGCGTGGATCGATGCAGATTGATTAGTTAAAATTTTTAGTATACACATTTTGCCAAAAAAAATACATACAGAGAGAGAAAAAAAACGATTTTTTCACCACTTAGCTGATAAATTAAAATCTCCTTTAAATCAATAAATCTCTAAAACTACTGAACGAAAGTACATGGCATCTTAGAAAGGGAATTGAAAGACCTTTCACACGAACTATTACTCGGCATCCCTTTCCAATTAAGAATTTAGGGGTGGCGCCGCCCCTGCCTTGGGGGTTGTAGGTGTGAAAGTGATTTTATGATATTTTTCCCCTTCAATAGAGGGAGATGGCCGATTCTGCGCCAGCCGCCCGGAGGAGGAGGCGAAGGCGTCAGACGTAAATCAGGTAAGAACATGTAAAACTGGCTAATAAACAAGAATAAACAGGTTTGAACCGCTTTAAACCGCTTTAAATTAGAAATAAACAGGTTTGAACAAAAAATGAACATGGTTGTTGTTTAAAGCTAAAAAGCGGTTCAAAGCAGTTTAAAAGCAGTTCAAACCTGTTTATTCTTGTTTATTAGCCTATTTTACATGTTCTTACCTGATTTACATCTGACGCCTTCGCCTCGTCCTCCGAGCGGCTGGCGCAGAATCGGCCATATTTGGGTTGCTAAAGGTGCTGTTGTTAAGCTTAAAGTTTGATATGAAGTGGTTAGAATTAAAATGGACCAAGTCCAATTTTCTACTGTTTTAAGATAATCGTCTTTGTACGTTTATAGAATATTGTTTTTCCAGTAGAGAAATGAATCAAGTCATACTTCTCGCATTAAGCAGTTATAGCCTGTTTATCCAACTTGTTTTATTGTAATTAAGTAACATTAAAAAACTTTAACTCTCATTTTCTCCATAAATATCTTTTAGGACTTGATTCAGTTCACTTCTGACCCCTCATATTTATTATAAAGACTTTTTTAAATTTAGGCTTCTTCCAATGAGTTTCCTTGTGGATAACCCGGGCTTCCGACTACTTTATTTAGTGGTGCTTGGACCACACACGGTCTATTATATCTGCTTTCATTATTTCATCTCTTTTCATATGTTTTTTATGCTCGTTACGTTGTAGATTTCGATGGTATTTTATTTCTCTAATATACGACTCATCGCATTCCGAAGATACCTGGTAGATGTACCTTCTTATGTTCGTGTTTTAGCTCTTGTTTTGATTAAGTCACTTTTTTGAATAGATCGGCACATAAAATCAGGTTTAATGTTATAGATACTGTTTCGTTTGACTATTCGTATGATGTTCCTTTCAAATGTGTAATTGTCAAGAGAGGGAGAACATCTTCCTTAAGCTGAGGCCGCAGTGCAAGCAAGTTACCTGGAGGGTAGTGGGTATCGAGGCGCCAAGCGACCCTCCAAGTAACCCGCGAGGTATGCTTCCGTAATATGCGATTTTAACCAAACCAGCCGCAGTGCAATTCCCCACCAACTTAGGCCACAATCATACTAATTCGCACTCAGGAGCATTCTGTTATTATTGTTTTCGTCTACGGCCTGTTTTTGAGTAATATTTTTTAGTTTTGATAATTATCACTTTTAACTATTTTGTACCGTTTAATGTAGTAAATTTCTAACTTTCTTTTAATAGTTTTAGATGATATATACTTTTGCGCTGGCCGAAAACACCCCCAAATAATTTACAATCGTAATATTTTCAATTTCCATTACAAATGTCTTGGTAGGACTCACTGGGAGTGCAGTTTCGTACGTAGAACCAAATGCAGGACCAGAATTATAACCATGACATCGTCCATTGTTGTTTCTGATGAGCACAACCACCAACCACCGGCTAAATTGCCACCATTTTTGAAAAAACAAACTGTTGCTGTGATGAGAAAAGAAGGAACTAATTTATTCTAATTGTATATTACTGGTGAGCCTATTTTAATTAATTCGTTTTTGAACATTCTTTCGTTAAATAAAAAGAATAAGAATCTTTAAATACTATTTTGATGTTCGTTAGACACGAAAGGAGCGTTATTGAAATACCTTACTTGAAAGTGGAAGAAAATGATAAATTATGAAATAAAGTATCTTATATATGATATTGCCTTTAATTTTTGAATTTTACACAACTTTCTGTTCAGATGCATCATAGGCCGTTATCAAGTGTGAGCTAATCAAACTATACCGTGCTGGCAACTCTTATTTTGGGATCGGAATTTACATGTGTGGAAGTAAATCGCATAGGGATCTTATTAAGTCGGAGTGAGAGAAATGCTACGGTCTGCTGTTGCGGCGTTGCCACATTTCTCCGTTATGCCTTTCTCTATCAAGTAAAGCAAAATCATGATCGCAAACCGCTTGTTTTTTAAAGACTTTTATTTTCGAAAAAAAACTAGATAAAATTATTAGATATGTTTCTGAGCATCTGAAATGGAATTATAAGGATATCGTTAGGATGTTCATTTTTTTATTACGAGAAAACGTCAGTAATAACTGATATTATCAGATAATTTAAAAACTCAAATTTTTAACACATAACACGCGAAACCTCAAGGACTACTTTAGATAATAAAGCTTTTTTTTTTATTTTGAAGTTCGAAACTTTTACAAGAAGTTTAAGTAAAAAAATCGATAGGCTTGTTTTTTTCAATTCAAAATTTAAAAAAAAACATCCATTTACTTTGATTATGATTATGATACATGATGTACATTCTTCCCTAGAATTTTAAGTATCTACTGATATGGTACTGATTGGGTCGACCGGTCGACCGCGGCGAATAAGCACAGTTTCTCGGTGTATTTCATAGGTTTAGCAACGTTTTTACTGTTTTTTTTTGTTCAGTACATTATAAACGCATTGTACTCTTCTTACATACGGAACTCTCGACCCAAGACTAACCTTTGCCCTTATTATATAATCCAAATTCTAAAACTTATATATTAGAACTCCAGAGTAAAGTGTCCACTGAGGACACTAGCTTTTTATACTTTTTAAAGTGTATATTGTGGAAATTTAGATATTTTGGTTGCTAAAGATGCTTTTTCCAATGAGTTTCCTTTTAGATAACTCGGGCTTCTCACCACTTGATATTGTGGTGTTTGGACAACACACAATCTATAATATCTGCCTTCAATATTTTACCTCTTTGCGTATGTTTCTTTATACTCGTTAAGTTGTACATTTAGAAGATGTTTTATTTCCCCAGTATGCGACTCATGACATTCCCAAGAATTCTTTTGTTTATGTTTTAGCTCTTGTTTTTATTAAGACACTTTTTAGAGTAGTTCTACACTTAAAATCAGGTTTAATGTTATAGATACTGTTTGACTATTCGCCTCATGTTCCTCTCAAATGTGTCATCATCAAGATCAGGTTTAATGTTATAAATACTGTTTGACTTATGTTCCTTTCAAATGTGTGAAGATAGGGAAGATAGGGAGAACATCTTCCTCTGGGTGACGCACCAATGAGTCTGTCTTTTAGTTCTATATAATCTTGGTGAGAGACTTACTATTCAGATTAATTCACACTCAAGAACATTCTGTTACTATTGTTTTCGGCTATGGTCTCGATTTTTGAGTAATATTTTTTACTTTTGATAATTATCACTTTTTTCATAATAACTATTTTGTACCGTTTAATGAAGTAAATTTCTAAGTTTTTATAATAGTTTTAGGTGATATTATATACTTTTGCGCTGGCCGAAAACACCCTAAAATTATTTACAATCGTAATTCTTTCAATTTCCATTACAAATGTCTTGGTACGACTCACTGGCGGTGCAGTTTCGTACGTAGAACCAAATGCAGGACCAGAATTATGACCATGGCATCGTCCATTGTAGTTTCTGAGGAGCACAACCACGAACCACCGGCTAAATTGCCACCATTTTTGAAAAAACAAAATGTTGCTGTGAGGAGAAAAGCAGGAACTACATTATTCTAATTGTATATTATTGGTGAGCTTGTTTTAATTAATTGGTTTTTGAACTTTCTTTCGTTAAATAAAAAAAATAAGATATTTAAATACTATTTTAATGTTCATTATTATTATGATGTTCATGCGTTAGACATGAAAGGGACGTCATTGAAATACCTTGTTTGAAAATGGGAGAAAAAGTGATGGAACTACTCAAAACAATAATTATCGCATATTTTTCAAAAAAATGAAAGTCAAGGCACTTTGACTTCCCTGACTTACGGGTTTAAATAGTTTTGATACTGTAAAGGGTAATTTGAAACATTAAGCCTACGCGCTGACCTGTAATTTTTAGTCGGCCGACTATTTAGTTGCAAAAGTGAAAACAATACATATTTATGGAGCCGATCGGCCGACTATTTGATTGCGTGTGAGCGCGGTTCCATAAGGATATACAGGGTTGTTCACCACATATGACACGGAGAATGGTAGCTAAACGATTAGATTTTTACAAATTATAAGATTTGGGTTCGTTGAAGGACTATTAGAGCTACAATTTAAAAATATTTTTACAAGATATAGAGTGTCCCAAATAAATAAAAAATATCAAAGTTGTATTTTTTTAAATGAAACACCCTGTATATTATTGCATTTTTAGTTTCTACGATTAAAATAAAGGTAAATTTGATTAAGGTTTATTACACTTAAACCTTACCGTTTTTAAAATATTTTTAATTTTGCGAAATTGCGGTATAAATTTTAAGGCTTCATTTCTCCGAGGGTATCAAAGTTTTTAATACTAAATATTTACTGAAGTTTATTTATTGACCAGTTATTGTGTTGCAATAATAAAAATTATACTACCCTATACAGAGTGACTAAAAATTTATTTTAAATAATTTCTAGCTTTAAACGGCAATAACTTGTTTAATTTAAATGGAACACCCTGTATATTTTATGAGAATCAGATGCACAACTTAATTGTCTATCAAATTGTATTATACCACTTTTTACCTATCCCTTCAAGTTTTCGTAGAAAACGCATTTTCTCATAATTTAGACCTCATTTATCAATATACCCATGGAATATTGACATTTTAGATTGTTTTTAAAACAACCAATGTACAAAATGCACAGGCTAGTAATATTATCGTTTTTAGTAAAACGATAATATTACTAGCCCATTTGTATGCAAAAAGAAAACTATTTAAATCTTTATAATAGAGTATACCATTAATTAAATATACCACCAGTATTTCCGCCCAAATACTAATTAATTACATACTTAATTCTGTTCGTTAATAAATTATTCTAAATAAATGTGGATTTGAATCAGAAACTAATATAATAATAAGTTATGAAAATGAACGTCTCTATTGTTATAAATAAGCATTTGTCAAAAAATGAAATATCATTTTTAAGGTGTTAGTTTTTTTACCACACTGTCTAATACACATACATAATTCAGTTTTTTAGTATTTGGAGCAATTATTATTACCCAACGCAAACAGTCAATTAATGCAGTTTGAATACTGGAATCATATTAATTGGTCCTCTTTAACAAATATTTAAACAGTTTTTTTTTATTTTTTAATGAAATCTACGAACTATATCGACAATATTAGTATCTGTACTCTTTAAAAATTTGGTACATGTTTAAAAATAATCTCAAATGTCAGTATTCCATGGGTATATTGATAAATGAGTTCTAAATTACAAGAAAATGCATGTTCTACGGAAACTTGAAGAGATATGTAAAAAATGGTATAATACAATTTGATAGACAATTAAATTGTGCATCTGATTCTCATAAAATATACAGGGTGTTCCATTTAAATTAAACAAGTTATTGCCGTTTAAAGCTAATAATTATTTAAAATAAATTTTTAGACACTCTGTATAAGGTAGTATTATTTTTATTATTGCAACACAATAACTGATCAGTAAATAAACTTGAGTAAATATTTAGTATTAAAAACTTTGATACCCTTGGAGAAATGAAGCCTTAAAATTTTTACTGCAATTTCACAAAATTGAAAATATTTCAAAAACGGTAAGGTTTAAGTGTAATAAATCTTAATCAAATTTACCTTTATTTTAATCGTAAAAACTAAAAATGTAATAATATACAGGGTGTTCCGTTTAAAAAAATACAGCTTTGATATTTTTTACTTATTTGGGACACTCTGTATCTTGTAAAATTATTTTTAAATTGTAACTCTAATAGTCCTTCAGCGAACCCAAAACTTAAATTTATAAAAATCTAATCGTTTAGCTACAATATTCCGTGTCGTATGTGGTGAACAACCCTGTATTGGTTACAAATATGCCACTAAATAGTCGGCCGATTAAAAATTGCCTGTTAACGTAAAGCCTAAGGCTACGCAATGCAATTAAATATTGGGCTGATTGGCTCCATAGGAATGTATTGTTTTCACTTTTACAACTAAATAGCCAGCCGATTAAAAATTACATGGCAGTGCGTATTATGCATATTTATCCTAAAAAAAACTCACAAGAGAAAGGCAGAAACATGCATACTTCATTTAGAAATATGTAATGATTCATTTTACTCAAATATGTGATAATTGTTTTGAGTAGTGTATTTTGTACAGTTTAATGAAGTACGTTTCTAACCTTTTTTTAATAGTTTTAGATGAGGTATACATTTGTGCTGGCCGAAAACACCCTCAAATAATTTACAATAACAACATTTTCCATTTCCATTACAAAGGTCTTGGTAAGACTTACTGGGAGTGTATTTCCGTACATAGAACGACATCGTCCATTGTTTCTGAGGAGCACAACCACCAACCACCGGCTAAATTGCCAGCAATTTTGAAAAAACAAAATGTTGTTGTGATGACAAAAGGAGGAACTAAATTATTCTAATTCCATATTATTGGTGACTCTGTTTTAATTAATTCGTTTTTGAACATTCTTTCATTAAATAAAAAAAAATAAATAAATTTTAAAATCCTATTTTTATGGAATTAGACACAAAAGGGACATCTTTGAAATAACTTATTTGAAATTGGTAGAAAATGATGAATTATAAAATAAAATATTTACCTGGATTAATGTTTTGTCTTTCTTAATCTATCTTAATTTTTAAATTTTACACGTTAAGCATTTACATAATGTATTATTGTTTTGTTAGAGGCTTTTGTTACTATGTGTTATTGTTATTATTGTTTTCAATTTTTGAAGAATATTTTTTACTTTTATTAATTATCTCTTTTTCCATAATAAATAACTATTTTTTGTGCTGTACCGTTCAATGAAGTAAATTTTTAACTTTTTTTTAATAGTTTTAGGAGAGGTATACTTTTGTGCTGGCCGAAAACATCCTCAAATAATTTACAATAATAATATTTTCAATTTTCATTACGAATGTCATGATAAGACTTTCTACGCGTGCAAGTTCGTACGTACTACACGCAGAAGCAAATGCAGGGCAAGACTTATGACCAGGGGATCGACTATTGTTATTTGTGAGGAGCACAACCACCTACCACCGGCTAGATTGCCACCCGTTTTTAATAAACAAGTTGTTGTTGTAATTACAAAATGGGGAAATAAAATAACCTAATTGAATATTATTGGTGAGTTTTAATTAATTCGTTTTTGAACATTCTTTCATTGTATTGAAAATATATTGTAAATAAAAAAAAATTAAGGAAAGAGTCTTTCAATATAAGGTAATGGTGTGGATCCGGTGGCTGACCTTGAAACGAGTTTTTGCTGCATATAGTCACTGACACTACGCATGCGCACATCTTCGATGTTGCCAGATTGCGAGTTATTTTGTAATTATTTTCAGTAGAAAACAAATATGTGCTTTTCATGGTTTTTTTGTCAATATATACCGTATGATCGAAAAAACGGCGTCGATTGAGGACATTTTCATAAAACGACAGCGATCTTCATTTCATAGTCATTGCTGACGCTATTTTTTTTCAATCATAGTACGCGGTATATTATTTTAATATTTCGCACAACACGTGAACGCTTATTATGTATTTTTATAGTCAATAAAATTATATAGAAATAAAACTCTAGATTCCTATCTAGATTATTATGCTACGTTTAAAAAGTGCTTTATTAAAAATTCGGGAAATTAAAAGGAATGTGTCCAAGTTTTTTCTTTTTTTTAAATTTTTAAATGCTGTAGCTCCATGTCATGTTCATAATAGATTTTTTTTAACATTCCATCAAAACTACGGAGGCCTTAAAGGGCCTTTTAGCCTCCGTAATTAAAATTGTAGAATCAGCTTCAGCAACATTAACAGTTACCTTGTTTAATTCTGCTTATACATATATTGCATTAATTTTTCTGCTACATTAAGATTTCTCTATTCTTACACCTAATTTATGTGATTTTCTTAGCATATATGATTTATAAACAATATTTTTCCTAATGGAAGGATGAATAGGATATGCAAAATTAAGATATTTTAACATTTATTTTCCAGACCAAGCATAATATAGTATTAAGATGAAGACATAACAAATATTATAAGAAAGATCTTAATATAAATCACAAACTAAGTCTTAATTTAGTCTTGTATTTCTATTATTATTATTATTCTTATAAAACTAATAAGATCAAAACTCAACCTTCACCATATTGTCAAGATTTGGCATTATAGGAAACAAGAAATGAGAAAAGAATATCAAAGTACACGATATTAAATACTGTAATGTATTCTACGATACAAACCATCTCCCTTCTAAAAAGAAAAAGATAAAACATAAAGCTTATTTTAGTCTTATCAACAGGGGCGGATACAGGAATTTATTTTAGGGGGGGCCCAAAATGAAAAGCAATGTAGAATATGGTTTTTAGGGCGCCATTTTTAACACAAAAGCCTAATATTTTACACAATTCACAGACTTTAGGGGGGCCCGGGCCCCATGGGCCCTCCCCCTGTATCCGCCACTGCTTATCAACACACTCTTCGATAAAATCCACTAACTTGATATTTTTAAGAAATTATGATAAAAACATTAATTATAATCAAAGTATATTATATTAGTAACATTATATAATAGGTAAAATGTTACCTCTATCTCCGATTGACGTTTATTATTCTATAATAAGACCCGTCATGGTAGTACTTCAAAACATCAATACATATAATCAAAACTATTGTTTCCTGTAAATAACTAGAAATTAAATAACTTGAAACAAATAAAATAATTCTAATAAGTTTAAACCCATTAAGAAAAAATTCGTAAATAATAAATTTTAATTCTAATGTAAATATATAAATAAATGTTATTATTCTTACAATTTTATATATTCATAATACTTTCATTTTACAATCTTCATTATTCTTCTTACCTTAATTTTGGATATCAAGATAAATCTGAAATTATAAAATTAATTATAGAATTTGTATTATTATTGATTAACACGCAAAAAAAAATTTTCAACTGCAAATAATTCGAAAATAAACTGCAATTTGGCAACATCGACGATGTGCGCTTGCGTAGTATCGATGATCAAAAGCAGCAAATATGGGCTTCAAGGTCAGCCACCGGATCCACACCTTTACCCAATATAATTTTTATGTTTATGCATTAAACACTAAAGGGACATTTTTGTAATAACTTGTATGAGGTAGAAAATGATGTAATATGAAATAAAATATCTACTTGGACTGATATTGTCTTTAATTTTTAAATGTTACACAACGTTCTGGTCATAGGTATCACACGCTGTTATCAAGTGTGAAGTAATTCAACTAATCAAAATTCTAAAACTTTTTAGCTTTTATATTAGAACCAGACTGCATAGGGTATACAGATGACATGGTCATGATTGCACGGGCGAAACATGAAGGCACCCTGTGTGATATTATCCAAAGAGGACTTCGCATCGCTGAGAGATGGTTCAGGACTGTCGGGCTGAGCATCAACTCAGATAAAACCGCAGTAGTGCCATTCACCCAAATGCGAAGTCTGAAAAACTTGAAAAAAATCCATCTAGATGGAAAGGAAATACTGCCATCACCGGAAGTGAAATTTCTGGGAACTACCCTGGACAGTAAACTTCTCTGGAACAGACATATTAAAAACATTACTCGCAAAGTCACAAAGACTCTCATGATATGCAGAGGAAATAGGTAGGGCTGGGCCCCTAACATTTTGCGCTGGATGTATACCATGATGGTAAGACCCATGATTACCTATGGAGCAGTTGTTTGGTACACAAAACTCGAGCAAAGTACAGCAAGGCAAAATATGTGCAAAGTACAGAGACTGGCATGTATCTGCATCACAGGTGCCACGAGAACATGTCCAACAGCAGCAATGGAGGTCATTCTAGGCCGAACACCACTGCATATTGTCGTCGGTAGTTATGCCAATGCGACAATGATTAGAATGGTCTTTGACGGAAATAGTACTGAGAAAATTTTCAGGTCAGGGGCTTGGAACACCCTCAAAAAGAAAATTTCACTTCTCCAACTCCCAGTGGATGACATACCAAGAATTTACAACTTTGAGAAACACCTCACTGTAGTATTGAGTAATAAAAGGATTGGGAAGGAAGAAACGTTTGCTCAGCATGTAAAAGACCATACCATATCGTGGTATACTGATGCTTCTAAGCATTCTACATTCTACATTACAACCAGATATTCACTCAAGAGTGAAGTTGTTTACTGAGGACACTAGCATGTACGTTTTGAAGTGAATATTGTGGAAATGTACATATTTGTGTTGCTAAAGATGCTGTTTTTAAAATAACGGATTTTTTAAATTTACACTTTTTTCAATGAGTTTCCGTTTGGATTACTTGGGCTTTTGACCACTTTATATTGTTTCACCTCTTTGTCTATGTATTTTATGCGCGTTAACTTGTACACTTAGAGCGCTTTGTCTCTCAAGTATAACACTAATCGCATTCCCAAGATAACTTTAGATGCACTACATTCTTTTGTTCATGTTTTCGCTCATTTTTTATTAAGATGTTTATTAAAGTGTTCTATACTTAAAATCATGTTTAATTATACATACTGTTTGACTATTCGGCTTGTGTTTCTCCCAAATGTGGAATCGTCAAGTGAGTCTGTTTTTTAGTTTGATATAATCTTGATGCGAGACTTACTAATCAGACTAATTTTCACTCAAAGACATTCTGTTATATTGTTTTCGGCTACGATTTTTGAGGATTTTCTTTTATTTTTATTAATTATCAATTTTTTCTAATAAATAATTATTTTGTCACGTTTAATAAAGTAAATTTCTAACCTTTTTTATTAGTTTTAGATGAGATATATTTTTGTGCTGGCCGAAAACACCCTCAAATAATTTACAATAATCATATTTTCTATTTCCATTACAAAGGTCTTGGTAAGACTTTCTGGGAGTGTAGTTTCATAAATAGAACGAAATGCAGGGCCCGAATTATGACTAGGGCATCGACCATTGTTGTTTCCGGGGCGCACAACCACCAACCATTGGCCAAACTACCACCAATTTTGAATAAACAAAATGTTGTTGTGATAACAAAAGGAGTAACTAAAAAATAAAATTATTCTAATTGTATATTATTGGCGACTCTGTTTTAATTAATTCGTTTTTGAACATTCTTTCGTTAAATAAAACCAATAAGAAAGGAGTCTTTATATTCTATTTTGATGGTCATGCATTAGACACAAAAGTGACATCTTTGAAATAACTTGTTTGAAAGTGGTAGAAAATGATGTATTATTAAATAAAATATCCACTTGAACTAATATTGCCTTTAGTTTTTAAATTTTACACAACTTTCTGGCCAGATGTATCCCATGCTCTCATCAAGTGGAAAATAATCCAACTAATCCAAATTCTAAAACCACTCAGTTTATATATCGAAACCAGGCATTCACTCAAGTGTGAAGTTGTCCTCTGAGGACACCAACATTGGTACGTTTTAAAGTGGTTACCATATTGTGGAAATACTTGGATTGCTAAAGATGCTGTTTTTACCTTAAAGTTTGATATAATAACGGCTTTTTTTAAATTTACGCCTTTTCCAATGAATTTCCTTTTGGGTAACCCGGGCTACTGACCAGTTTATGTTATGGTGTTTGTACTACAAACGATCTGTAATATTTGACTTCATTCTTTCCCCTCTTTGTGTATGTTTTTTATGTTCGTTAAGTTGTACATTTAAAGGCCGTTTTGTCTCTCCAACTCATCACATCCCCAAGATACCTACCTGGTAGCATTCATTCTCGTTTGTTCATGTTGTCGCCCTTGTTTTTATTAAGACTCTTTTTAGGGTAGTTCTGCACTTAAAATCATATTTAATGTTGTAGATACTGTTTGACTATTCGTTTGATGTTTCTTTCAAATGTGTAATCGTAAAGTGTGGCAGGACATGCATCTTCCTCTATGAGACGCGCTAATGAGTTTGTCTTTTAGTTAGATATAATCTTGATGAGAGACTTATCAGTCAGACTAATTCGCACTCAAAGACATACTGTTATTATTGTTTTCGGCTACGGCCTCGATTTTTGAGTAATATTTTTTACTTTTATTAATTATCACTTTTTTATAATAAATAACTATTTTTTACCGTTTAATAAACTAAATTCCTAA